TCCTTTCTCCCTCACTTGCTCACAGACCCACCTCACTGAAAATTAAGGAGGTGCAGGGAAGAGAGAGGAGATCTAGGCCTGCAGGAATGAAACATCCTTTTACTTCTGAGCTGAACTGATCAACTTAGATGAACAGACGTGCTCTAATCAATTGTTTTATAAGAAGAGTAAGATGTTTATCAAACTTGAATATATTTTTACTAGACTGTTATTTCTTTAATAGGCATCTTGGACTAAAATAAAACAGTGCAAGTTCAAAAACCCATTTGGATAAATAAAACTGTTTATCCTGAAGACTGTTGAGATTGCTCATGTTTTCCTCTCTTCCCCATCTTGTCCAAGCCATCTCCCACTCTTCATTCAAATATAATTTATAAATATAGTTATATCCCAAGTAATTCCAAAAGTGAGTTGTTACGGCTTACCAAAAGAAAAAGCTCAGACAATAAAACCAATGATATGTGAACTCAAATAGGAAAACGGATTGGAGAAGAAAATTAGAAATCAAATGTTCATTTCAGTTGTTCCAAGAGAGCCTAATGCCATATATTTAAAGTGTTGTGCTGGTGAAGACGAAAAAGGAAACAAGAAATGCACATCTCTCTTGATCAGGGAAATGGGCATATTGTGGGTTGTTATAGGGAAAACTAAGTTTTCATCGGTACTAAACTTTGAAAGAAATTTCTCCTATGGTAGATGGTAGAGAGATAGACTGGATAACATCTTGACAAGAGTTTTGGCTCAAACCAGAATTTTTTCACAAAGAAATTCCCATGACTCATTCCTATAACGACTTTTGATAACAGTTAGAAATCCTACCACTGCATTTTAGCCCAGAGATGTTGATTCAATGTGGGCATATGACCAGTGCTTCATCAAAGCACATTGGATTAAGCTCTCATTGGCAAGAACTTTTGGATCCAAGTGCTCTTCCTAATGTATTAGCCTTTCTTTTATTGTGTGTCTTTGTTTGAAAATTTAAACACTGTGTCATCATAGTGTTTGATTGTTATCAAAATCATTATGATTTTAAACAGGATTGAATTTGGAGTGAATCCTGTGAGGTGCAGCTAGAGACCTATCTCTATGCCCACACTGATGGTTAAGGAGTATTTGGGGATGTGGTCATTCAGACACAATTCCACTTAAATTAGTTCTCATCTGATCTATTTTTTTACCTACACAATGCCTCATTTTACAGTTGAGTCATATGTAAAATGAGGCACACAGGAGATGCATAATATAAAATAGTGAAGTGTAAACTAAATATCAGGACAAGGAAAACAAATTAAATATGGCATCAAGACTAGGGTGGATATAGGGTGATGATGGACAGAATGGAGATCTGATGACAATAAAGTTCCGCTGTTTTTACAAATAGCTGACGAATTGCTTTGGGCTTCCTGGAACGCCACTATATCATGTGTCCATCATTCCCTAGTCTGTAGCCCATTACCTCCTGGGAAGACTAACTAAAAATGATACAATTTGCTTTTGTTATTTAACACCCCAGTGGCCTTCACTTCCATTTGGAAGAGCTCTTGGTTATCTCTGCCTGGCTCTGTGTGGCTCTTCCATTCTTGTTTCTACCCGAGGCTTCCACTGCCTGCTCAGAGTTTGTCTCTCTTATAACTTTAGCTCACCTATGGCTTTGCTTCATCATGGGCATGACTCCATCTGGGGGCTTCTTTTTCAGATTTGGCCACCTCTACTAGTCAGCTCAAATGACTATTTTCAAGTGTGACAATTTGGTTGGTTCAGGTCATCATTTTATATCTGGCCATGGTACAGTTGGCCAGTCTATGGAGTAGTGGCCTGGGTCAAGTACTGCAGTGTCCCTGGTCTAGTTCCTTAGGTGTCAAGTCACATGGTCCAAAATACAAGCCAGCAGTTGGAGTGGGGATCTGGAGGGAGCTGTGGGTGAAGCTGTTTTCTTTGCACAGAGGTTTAAGTGTGGCAAGCAATCAAAGACTTTATCTCTTCATCTGGGTGGGGGATTGAGCATGAGAGTGCAAGCCAGCTGCCTTTTTGCCTCTGTTCCATCAGCTGATGAAATAAAGACCTTTGTCCTTCTGAAAATCTTTTCTTCTGAGTTGCTCAAGTCATTCTTTTCGGAAATAGGCTTAGAGAGTTTGGGAAGCCCTGCAGTAAGCACTCCCTTTTAAATGTATTACTCATACAGATGTCTGAATGTATTTCACTATAACCCTCTCCCCACTTCTTTTGTTAAATGTCATATTGATTTGTAGTCTGTGGAACAAGTCTTTGTAGACTTTTGCTACTCAGATTGAGATCAGCATGGGCACTGCCTGGGAGCCTGCTGGAAATGCAGACTCTCAGCCTCCCATGGACCTACACACTCAGAACCTGTGTTTTAACAAGTTCTCCAGTGTGTGCATTAAAGTTTGAGAAACATGACTTCTACTGCAAACTTTGGAAAGTGCCGAATGACTCTAGCCAGGGACTGAGGCTTCAAGAGGTGATGTGACTTGCCTGAATCCCCCAGTGGGTCAGTAATGAATCTGGAATCAGAATCTGGTGTCCTGAGTCCTAGTCATATTCTCTTCCCACCAGCCCATGATGTTCCCTCATCCAGGAAATGAGGAGGCTTGGTTAGACCATCGTTAGACCATGTGATTGGGGGATCATGAGTTATCATCCACAGTCACTTTGGAGAGTACAAGAGGATACCGTGAATTACTTTAGGACAATGGATGCAAAGTGCCACAGACAGCCACTATATATACCTAAAGTATTTCTCTGTTTTACAGAGCCCTCTCACATCTGTTAACTACTTTAAACAGCATAAATATCCAATTACTAGATGATCTTAAAGTATTAACTCTTCAATAAAATTTGGTTTTCAAGTAAACACACACACATACAGGCACACTACCTCATTTTAGTAGATACATCATGATCTAAACTGACCAAGAAAAAAAGGTAAAAAGCCCAAATCAAAAAAATATGAGAATGGAGCCCTGGCTGGTGTGGCGTAGTGGACTGAGCGCCCGCCTCTAAACTGAAAGGCCACCAGTTTGATTCCTGGTCAGGGCACATGCTTGGGTTGTGGGCCAGGGCCCCATGTTGGGGGGTGTGAGAGTCAACTGATCAATGTTTCTCTCACACATTGATGGTTCTCTCCCTCCCTTCCCCTCTCTCTAAAAATAAATAAGTAAATCTTTTTTTGTTTTTTAAAAGAAGGGCAAGTATAGCTTCAGATTTAAAAAACATATGAGAATGGGGGAAGTGATCATAGATACACACACATTTAAAATAATTCTGAAATTACTTTGCTTAACCCATTCCAACAGGTTTGAAAACCTGGATGAAACTAGTGGTCCCTCTCCTCCCCCATCACACACCACTGCCATGGCCCGGCTGGGGCTGGAAGCTACACGTCATGGCTTTCTGTCAAGTCATTTCCCTATGAGTCAACCAGACTTCAGAGTCCGGTTTCTGAAACTGTTATGCCAGTGCTTTAACTCAGAGCTAAAATGTCTCGATACCTTGGCAGGAACTCGGTTCTTCCACTGGGGTAGGAACCAGATTATGTGAAGAGTTGTTAGCTGAGTGGACCGCTTACGGCAAATGACCACCCACTTCCTTCTGACAGCCACTTTATCTGCCACCCGCCATTGCCCCGCTCTAGAAATGAAAAACAGGTATGTCCCTGATCCTGAGAATCCTGAGTGTTCCACCTGAGAGGTCTCATCTTGTCAGAGATTGGTTAGTTCTAGTCCCTCCTTTTACAGATGAAGAAATTGAGAATAAGGAGAAGGAAGTAACTGTCAACTTGAGACTATTTTCATTCCAATTTGTGTGCTCTATTACACTATCTTTAATAATAATATTAATAATATGAACAACTGATATCTATTGATTGGTTTACTCCATCACCCCTTAACAACCTTATGAGGAAGGCAGTCATTGCACCATCCCCATTTTACAGAAACTGAAGCACAGAGGGGTTAAGTAACTTGCGCCAAAACACACAGCTAGTTAGTAAGTGGCAGAATTGAGATCTGACCCCAAGTAATCAACTTGCATGCAGAGCAGATACTCTCACCTCCATTTACTATTCCAATAGTTCTCTTATTATTCTGACAGGACATATCTCAGATTAATGTATATAACAGAGCCATTAGGTATGTGATCTTTAAGAAAGAGTCTCAAGACATAAGAGAAACTATGGTTTACCTAACATTTCACCACGTGTCAGTTACTGTCATCAGTGCTTTTAAAAGCATTAGCTCAGTAATCCCAAAACCAAAACCAAAATAATCACCCCCACCAAAACCCCAAAACGACACACACAGAGCGGGCACAGTATCCTCACTGGTCAAATGGGAAAACGAAGGCCCCAGAGTTTCCCTAAGTCCCTTCAGTTCCTACAGCTAAGTGGCAAATGCGGTGTTTAGAGCGAGCCCATCTGGCAGGTGAGCAACATTCTTCACTGCCAACTACACTCCACTACCAATCGACTGCGTTATTCACTTCGTCCTCACAGCACTTGACAGACAGGTGTCATTTCCCACCCACTCATTTGCTTTTCTCTGGTATAATGAAGAAACTGACCTGCTTGGAAAGTTTAAGTAATTTGCTAACCCCCATCCAGTGACTTGGTGGCAGGCCAGCCAGGGATCCAAAGCCCGTGGTAGACTGTTTTCACTTCTCCGGGCTTTAGTGGTGTGGGCCAAGGCTACCGCTTTGCGACAGATCCTCCCACTCGCGGGTCTCGGACACGCAGATCTCGCCTGAGGCTCTGCTTAATTCTGGCGGAGCCACACATGGCCCCCTGGCGGCAGGTGGGTGCAAGGGCTGAGCATGCTAATGAGCCCGCGGCACGGCTCGCTGATTGGCTGGCGCAGATTCCAGCTGCTTTCTCAGGGGCGTGAGCAGAGCGCGAGTAAAGGGGCGCCGCAGGCAGCTGCCGTCCCCACCCTGCGCCCTCCGGTCCCCCCACCTCCCCTTGGACTTTAAGGGCGTGTGCGAGACACCCTGGCTCTTTCACTTGCGAGCTTCGCTTTTTCTCTCCTTTCTGAGTTCTGGTTCTGATTTCATCCAGGATCCAGGATGACAATCCGACACCAAGGCCAGCAGTACAGGCCGAGGATGGCATTTCTCCCGAAGGTAAGCGTGGCCCGGTCACCTGGGCCCTGGGAGGTGGGCAGTGACCTAACCCTGGGAAGTGTCCGCAGAGATGCTGGGAGGCTCAGAGCTTGTGAGAGGGAGTGGAGAGCACTTCTTGTGGTCTTAAATGACTGGCATGTAGTGGAATGAGAACAGTATCTGTTTAGGTTTCTGTGCTGCCTGTTGATCCTGAAGAATCAGAACTGCTTGTGCAGATTGTTGCAGGGTGAAGAGCCTGTTACCAGGAGCTTCCTCCTATGCGGTGGGACTGTTCTGAAAGTGTTCTACTGTTTCTCCCAGAGGCTCCATTCGACCAGGACTCCAGGAGTTCACAGAATGAACCTGGATTGCCCTCCTTTCTTTCCCTGGCTCACTTTGGTGGACCTCTGCTGCCACTTCCCAGGATCAATCCCTCCACCAACACTAGAGACTATTACTCACATTTTACAGGTAAGGAAACTGAGGACCAACACTGGAAGGTTGTGATACAGTGACACTGGTCTCACCACAATGGGAGAAATGAAAAGTACAGCGGGCACTGCGAAGGAGCCTCTATGATTCCACGTGTGGAGTAGGGGGAGAGAACCTTGAAGCTGAGACTGAAGGGTGCCCAGCTTCTGCAGAGAAAGGACAGAAGGGAAACCCAGGCAGCAGGGGGCAGAGGTGTGTGCCAGTCTGGTGTGTTTGAAGCAGGTTGTTCACTGTTGCTTAACAAAGGTGGATCATGAAGATCTCAGATCTATGTCTTTCAAAGGTCATCCAATTTTTCCCAGAGGAAGACATTCGAGCAGGTGAGCGATGTAGTCAGATTCAAGTTCAAAAGACCACTCTGATGTGAACAAGAGGAATGGTTGGGGTGTTTTCTTTTCCTTGAACTAAGAGAGTTCACCCAGGGTCCTGCTGTGTCCACTATATTGCAGCTGCCTAAGAAATGACAGGTTGGGGAAGAGGTGCTGGGTAGAAGGGCCATTCTTTCTCCTGTGGCTCCTATAGCCACTGAAACACCAGGTAAACAGGCCCACCAGCCACACTGCCACTCCCTCTGAGTTGCAAGACCTCATAACTAGCACTCTATCAGGGAGGGCTCCTGGGTTTGTTTAAGATGTGGTAGAAGGAGGTGGAGCACCCACAGTCCAGGAGCTTTGCCGGGGGGAGTTAGCTGACGATGCACAGTGAACCCAAAAGCATGTCTAGAAAGCCTGCTGTGACCTCCGGCATCCACAGGGCTCTGTTCTGGCTCCTGCCTGTCACCTCCTATGTCCTGGCAGCTCTCTAAAATGCTTCCCTCTTTTCCTTAGGGGAAGAGTTGGGTTTGGACAAGGACTGCAAGGAATAGGGATCTTAATGAAGCTTGAGTGGATTTAGAACTCTTGTATCATGTATATATTCCTCCATTTAGCAAACATTTATTGAGTACCTGCTATGTGTCAGACATTGATAGATGCTGGGATAACAAAGACATTTGAGACATGGTCCCTGTCCTCAAGTGGCTTCTAGTCCAGTTATGGGACAGCCACATACACCAACCCAGCAGAACATCACAGGTGCCACAGCAGAAACCTGGAAGGTGGAGGAAGTGTCTAAGTACAGACATTCACTGTCTCCTTTATTGACTATCACAAGAGGATTCTGGAAGATTCGGTGATGCTTCAGCTGCTTCTTCTTGAAGGATGTGAGAAGGCCCATAGGCGGATGGGGTGCTGGACGAGGGCCATAACATGGGAGACATGCATTTAGCGGTGGATCTGATGTGTGTCAGCTATTGATCAGAGCCAGAGAGTGATGGCCAATAGGCAATTCTGTTTCTAGAAGGAGGTTCTGGAAAGCTTGAGATGATTCTCAATGGTTATTCTCAATGGTAAAAAAAATGAGGGTTAACAGCATATGGCACTTGGGCATTTGGACTTTGAATAGCAGCATTGCAGTTGGGACATGAGCCCCTACTAGGAAAGAGGGAGGTGTATTTTAGATTGCCAGTACGTCTTTGCACAGCAAGGACACGATTCACATTGTCCCTAGGGAACTAGGAGCACTTCATGCCCTAAGATCTTTTATGGAGAGTGACAGCTACTTGATGTGAAAAGTAACTGAGTGTGGGTGGACAGCATATCAAAGCCGTCAATTTCGGATACTTTTAGTGACTGTCTGGATTCTTTCATACGCTTAATGTCATATCTCAGTCACATGGAATCTGAGAAGGGGAAAGCCTGGCCTGTGGTGGGGTCAGATAGGCCAACGATGACCTTTTTCTTGCAGGATTTGTCTGTGACCTTAGGAAATAGTTGTAGAGAAGTCAGGGTTGCAGAGAGCCCAGAAGCTGCGGTCTGCTCTACAGCATGTGTGCCGGGGGAGGAGCAGTGGCAGTCTGGGGGAGGGCCAGGGGTCTTCACTGTGTCTGATGAAGGGAGATAGCTCACGGGCGATGCACACAGAACACAAAGATGAGGGCAGCCCGGAGAAAGGCCACAGCAGGACCTTTTCTGGCAAGCTTTAAAATCAAGGTAGGTTTTCTGTCATTGGTGGGCGGGGTTTCTGTTTCAGACAAGGAGATGTCCGAGATCACACCTCTAAGACCCTAGGACTCAGTCATAATTTTTGTACTTTAGATTTAATATAATTTTTTAAGGGAACCACTTAAGTGAATTTACATGGGAAAAGGTCAGAGGAAAATTATCCTGTACCCTAATGGGAAGACTCCTATCTTAGTCAGTCTGGGCTGCTATAAACAAAATACCAGAGACTGGGTAGCTTATAAACAATAGATATTTATTTCTCACAGTTCTGGAGGCTGAGATCAGAGTGCCAGCATAGTTAGTTTCTCGTACAAACTGCTTTCCAATTATGGACTTCTGGTTGTGTCCTCATGTGGTAGAAGGGACAAGGGATCTCTGGGGGTCTCTTTTTATCAGGACACTAATCTCATTCACAAGGGATCCACCCTCATGACCTAAGTACCTCCCAAAGGCCCCACCTCCTAATACCATCACTGTGGGGGTTAGGTCTCAGCATATGAATCTGGGGGGAGAGACAAACACTCAGACCATAGCAAGTCCCTAAAAACACACATGGAACATACATGTTTCACATTCCCCAGCAAAACCTTACTTCATGCACAGTGGGACCTCCCTGCCGTAAAGAAACCTGCTTCTCTTTATTGTGATTTTAAAAATAGAACCCTTTTCACGAAGATGGTGCCGAAAGCTAAGAAGGTAGCCCCTGCCCCTTCCAAAGCCGAAGCCAAGGCAAAGGCTTTGAAAGCAAAGAAAGCAGTGCTAAAAGGCGTCCACAGCCACAAAAAAAAGAAGATCCGCACGTCTCCCACCTTCCGGAGGCCTAAGACACTGCGGCTCCGAAGGCAGCCTCAATATCCTCGGAAGACCGCTCCCAGGAGAAACAAGCTTGACCACTATGCCATCATCAAGTTCCCCCTGACTACGGAGTCAGCCATGAAGAAGATCGAAGACAATAATACACTTGTGTTCACTGTGGATGTCAAGGCCAACAAGCACCAGATCAAACAGGCTGTGAAGAAGCTGTATGACATTGATGTGGCCAAGGTCAACACCTTGATCAGGCCTGATGGGGAGAAGAAGGTGTATGTTCGACTGGCTCCAGACTATGATGCTTTGGATGTTGCCAGCAAAATTGGGATCATCTAAACTGAGTCCAGCTGGCTAATTTTAAATATAAAAATTTTATACTAAAAAAAAAAAAAAAAAGGTCTTGGGGTGGAAGGGGACTAATATATGGTGATAAAAGATGGCTTGATTTTGGGTGGTGGGTACACAGTGCAATATACAGATCTTGTATCAAAGAAATGTATACTGGAAACCTATATGATCCTATTAACCAATGTCACCCCAATAAATAAAAAAATAAAAAATGAAAATAATTCTTATTGGTCTCTTTGAAGGTTTAAAATTCCTTATAGGTTAATAGGTTAATACTTTTTTTTTTTTTTAATGCAAAGGGAAAGGAATGAAGCTGCTGATATTTTTTATCAGAGCAGTTTAAATTTCAAACTAGCAGAACAGGTAAAATTCCTCCATCCACTGCTCAGCTCCCTGACTCCCTAAAAAGATGGTCATTTCACCTCGTGAAGTAACAGTATTTTTGGTACAAAGTTATAATAACCTGTAAAGTTATGAGTGAAAGGAAGAGAAAGTTTTACGCCCTGTTGTTAAAAATTAGTATAACACTGTATGTGTGTGTGTTGGAGAAGAAGGGACAGCTAGCTGCTACCAAAAGGAGTGACTCCTGCAGCTCACGGCTCCTTGGTCCCCTATCCATGTGCAGGAGGAGGGGGGTCACCTCCCAGCACCCCCAACACCCTGCTGGTGGTACCTCTTTGCTTCTTTTGCTGCCGTAGGCTGCTCTGCTGATCCAATGGCCTGAGACACCGCCAGGCCTTGGCATTGCAAAGACCAAGGTCTGCAGCTCCGCATGGAGCTGTAATGAAGTTTCCATTCCAGAACAATTCTGTGAGCCACGAATGTGTCCGTGCAGAGGAAGCCAGCCTGCAGTCAGTCTTGCTTGCTGGCTGAACAGCTAGCATTGTGCCCTGAGTGACCTTGACCGTGCACCTCATTGTGGCGGTTCCTCGACATGGTGATTCAAACTCTGAACCAGAGATGCAAACTTCGACTCAGCAAAAGATTGAAAGAGGAAATCCCTGCTTTCAGGTTGACTCAGGACATTGTCCCACACTCCTTCTCTCCTTGGGGAGATGGGAGCCTTCCAGCTTCAGGAGGTGGCTGGCTGAGGAGGAGGTGGCAGGAAGGATTTTAACAACTCAGGGCTCCCCTGAATGATTCTTTCTCTCCAGTGCAGCCAGGTCTCTCAACCAGATCACATCATGGGTTCTCTTCAAAGTGCACTTCCTCCAGGAAGCGTTCCTTAACCATCTGGATGATCCTGCATTTGGGGCGCAATTTATCCTGTGCTGGGTGTTCATCTTTATCTGTCTATATGCTTTGTCACCCCAATCCCTAGAGGACAGAGATTATGTTATTTGTAACAATCATAAAATTGGATCCATAAGAAGCATTCAATTAAATCTCTCTTTAGAATCGGTTGTCTGGCTGAGCTTTGCTTTTGTAGCTTTATTGACTAGTCCCTAAAGGACATATTACGACGACAACTTCGATCACGACCACTCCCACCCTGGCTGTCACCGTTCCAATATTGCCTTAGAGATTTTATAACTGTTTTACATTCAATATTTTCATTTGATCTTCACAACCACCCTTTTAACAGATGGAGCAGGCATTAAATTTCCATCCCCAGAGGATGAAAACTCTGAGGTTCAGAGAGGTTAAATGACAGGCCCAGGCTCACAGAGCTGACATAAAAAGCTTCCCAGAATCTGGGGAAACCAGTGGTCCCACTGAGACCACAGGGACATTCGTGCACATAAAAGGAGTTGGTGAACTGAGGGCTCATACAATGTTACTTAAGAATTACAATGAACTGCAGGGTAATAGCTACTGCACGACTGAAAGAGTTAAAAAGCGAGCATTGTGTTTGGATGGGTCTGGATTTCGAGGACAGGGTCAGGGTGTTGGCTGCTTTTGAGGGGCCCTCCAGGTGGAGACGTAGCAGGAAGTGGTTATGGGGAGGGCCGAAAGGACCGAGTTCACAGGCGAGGAAAGACCTCTGTTGACACTGTACTGTTGGCATGTACCCTGATGTTTCTTGCCTCCATCCCTCTGCTTGTGCTGCGCCCTCACCCTGGAAACCCTCATCACACGCCAGAGCTTGAAGCCGCATTTCCACATGTCTCCTAGATGTTTCTGTGTGCATTCCCAGCAGCATGGCACAAACTGAAGGCTTTCTTCCATAACAGGCTGCTGCTTTTGTATTCTCTGTTTGGTGTACTGATACCACTTTCTTGGCATGGAAGCTGGAAGCCTTGGAATCACGTTCTTTTTCCCTCACCAAATCGTATCCAGTCGCCCAGGACAAGAGTCCGTATCTCCGGTGCTCCTGCGCTTAATTCTTTCTTGTCCCCACTGTTACTATCACCAGCGCACTGGGCTCCCACCTCTGCAAGCCTTCCTTTTTGTGACCTCTGTAATCTTGTGAAACAAGGCAAACTATGAGGCTTCTCTTCCACAGCTTCTAGTTGCCTATTGTTAGGGGCTGAACTGTATTTCCCCCAAATCCATGTGTTGAAGCCCTAACGCCCAGGACTTCAGAATGTGCCTGTATTCAAAGACTGTATTAGTCTGTTTGGGCTGCCATAATAAAATGGCCCAGACTGGGTGGCTTAAACAACAGAAATTTATCTTCTCACAGTTCTGGAAGCGGGAAGCGGGGAAATCCAAGATCAAGGTGTTGGGAAGGTAGGTTTCACCTTGAGGCCTCTCTCCTTGCTTGTGCACAGCTGCCATCCTGTCTGTCTTCATATGACTGCTGTGTGTTTCCAGAGAGAGGGAGACAGCATGTTTTCTAGTGTCTCTTCTCATAAGAACCAATCCTCTCAGATCAAGTCTCCATCCTTAAGACCTCATGTAACTTTAATAACTTCCTAAAGGCTCCCTCTCCAAATATAGTCACAATAGGGGTTAGGGCTTCAGTGTATGGATTTGAGGGCAGCGGGGACACATTCAGTCTATAACACATACAAAACCTTTAAGAAGGTGGTTAAGCTAAAATTAGGCTGTTGCGGGGGGGGGGGCACTAATCCAATTTGACTGGTGTTCTTATAAGAAAAGGAGATTAAGACACTCAGAGAGACATGAGGGGCATGTGCCCAGAGGGACGACCACCTGCAAGGCAAGGAGAGAGGCCTCAGCAGAAACCAACCTGCTGGCACCTTGATCTCAGACTTTCTGGTCCCCAGAACCAGATGAAAAATTTCTGATGTTTAAGTTTCCTGGTCTGTGGAATCTTGTTATGACAGCTTGAGCAAACTAATATGCCTATGAAATGATGTCCCAGGCTCCCTGGGTCCTAGATCTGTTTGTTCTTCCCAATGCCTGCCCTGCATTTTTATCCTCTCATGTCTTCACACCTGCCAGCTCCTCATCCTGGAATGTCCCTTCCCTCAGTGCCCAAGGCAGTAAATCCTCATCACCCATGTGCTGTCTTAGTGAGAACCAGTGGGCCATGAACCGAAGTCATGTGTGTGGTTTCCAGGCTGAAAGCACTGAAGGGCAGCTGCAAATTCTCTGCGTTTTTGTCCCATCCCCTGCTTAGTGACAGCGAAAGCATGTGATGGAATCAAGGGCCACAGGTGGTAGCTGCGTGGTTCGCTGAGTCATGACATTGAGGGAGCGCCCTGGACATTGCCAACTGGAATTAGCATTTGGGAGAGAAATAAGCCTTTGTTGTACTGAACCTTGGGTCCAGCCTGTCCTGACTTAGATACACTCATTTTCTGCCAGTTCAAATCTTCATCTTTTAAGTACCAGTTTAAATGCTACCTCTCTTTAAGAACCTTCCAGAATGAACTCACCCCCTACCACCCTGTCAGAATTAATCTTTTTCCTTTGTGCTTTCATAGCACATGTACCTTATGTCTATTGGGTGCTTGATGCTTAGTAGTATGGTTAGTTAAGTACAGGTAGAGTTAGTGATACAGCATGATTAAGAGTTTGAATTCTGGAATCAGACTGACTGGGTTCACATCTCAGTCCTGCCATTTATCAACAGTGAGACCTGTGATGAGCTACTTAATCTTCCGGACCTTGGTTCCTCTGTTCCTCTAGTACCTGCCAGAGCATTTGGTACAACAATTAATTGTTTAATAGTACCTGCTTGCCAGCCTCTTTCTGTTTGCCTCACAGAATGAAGCATCAGGAAAAGACACATAGAAGCAGAGATGGGGAAAAATACAAAGCCAGAGGGTCCTGTTATCACAGCCCTTTTGATGTAACAGGCCTGAAACAGACTCCAGATTTTTCCTACAAATTAGTTCAAATCGAAGAGACAGAACTTAGTGGGAAGAAGGAAAGAAGAATCTGATGTTACTTCTCAAAGCTTCTTTCCCTGAGTTCATCATTTTTATGCATCTGTCAAGGTGGTTCATGATTTTATTTTATTTTTTTCTGCTAATGACTTACACTGATTGATTTTTAAATATCTAGTCACTTTTGCATATCTGGAATAAACACTAACCTTGGGTCAGGTGGTTGGAATGTCATCCTGTATACCTAAATGTTGTGGGTTCAATTCCTGGTTAGAGCACCTACCTAGGTTGTGGGTTCAATCTCTGATCAGGGTGCATATAGGAGGCAACTGATTGATGTTTCTCTCTCAACTGATGTTTCTCCCCCTTCCTTCCAAACATGTTCTTGGGTGAAAATTTTTTTAAAAAGCTGTGGTACATTTACACAATGGACTACTGCTTGGCCCTAAAAAGATGGAAATCTTACCTTTTGTGACAGCATGGATGGACCTGGAAAGCATTACGCTAAGTGAAATGAGCCAGTCAGAGAAAGACAAGCACCATATTTCACTCATATGTGGAATCTAATGAACAAAATAAACTGACAAAACAGAAACAGACTCATAGGTACAGAGAACAGACTGATGGCTGTCAGAGGGGAGGAGAGTTGGGGGGCTGGGTGAAAAAGGTGAAGGTGTTAAGAAAAAAGCGGCATAGATACAGACAACCGAATGGTGATTACCAGAGGGAAAGTGGGGTAGGGGTATGTAGAAGAGGGTAAAGGGGGTATAAATGGTGATGGAAGGAGACTTGACGTGGGGCGGTGAACATACAAAACAATATACAGATGATGTATTACAGAACTGAACACTTGAAACCTATATAATTTTATTAACCAATGTCACCCAATGAAGTCAATAGCATTTTTTAAAATCAGTTAAAAATGAAACAAATTAGCCTAATCCAGCACCTGACTCATCTGCCTCATTTTCCCTTGCAAATCCAATCCCTTACTCATTAAGCCCTCAGGACAATGAGGCCCTGGTCAGCATTAAACAATCATGGGAACGAAGCCTCAGGTCTGTTGACCACAGAGAAAGAGTTTCAGTCAAACAAAAGATAGTATCTAGGCTGCAGTTTTGTTTCAGTTCCAGGCCCTGTAAAGTGAACAAACTCCACCAACCACATCCTTGCGAAACCAGATGAAGTGACTCCACTGCTGACATTAGGACCAGATGCAGAGATCAACTACCTCCTACCCGGCGGCAATCAATCACAGAGACCACGATCCAACCTCCCTTAGTCTCCATGACTTCTGATTTTTCCTCTCTATAACCCATGCCTGGAAACCGTCGCTGAGCCAGGTCTTTGAGCGTGGGCTCACCTGTGACTCTGGGCATGCTGCCATTTCCTTAAAAATAAACCTTCACTTTCTTGGCTATGAACTCCTGTCTGCGTTTAGTTGGGCTTTGATGTGTGTGGGCAAACAAATCCCTTTCGTTTACTAACACTGCCTACAATCTGGAGTGGACCGTTTTTTTCTTCAGTCTCTCCTTGCCTACCACATATGGGGGCCATTTTCAGATTTCACTCAGGACCCTCCCATGGTTTTGAACCAACCATGGGGCCACAGACACTTAAATTTTAGAAAGAGAACAAATATATAGAACGAAATTAGTCATCAATAGAAAGGACCCAAGAGACTGTTTATGAAGCCCCCAAATCTAAACCTGGTGAGTTAGGTGCAACTTCAGGGAGGCACAGCTGGATTGAGACTGTAAGCAGAAAAGCTCAAACCAAGTCAATTACATTGTACTCTAGCTTGACGAAGAATATGGGGAGAGCATCTCTGAAAGGGATGGAGGCTTTCTACCCTTGAAAATGAATACTTAGCCAATTTGGCAGGTCCTTTTGTAGACTGAAGACACCTGATGCTATTAAACTTGGTTAACAGTCTCATTGCTTTGATTCTGTGCTGTGTCTCCATTATAATATACTGTAGTATAAAGAATCTAGACTCCCAAGTAGATCCTCCTTCAAGAAGGAACACACTGTTGGCAAATAAAATTATCTAGCTGACCAGTAAATTTTTCACTAGAAAGGAATAAATTCACACTCCCATTTTATACATCAGTCCCTTTTAAGTTTGGTTTGCATTAGTGTATCTTCTGAAGCCTGTTTACCTCTGTGAACTAATGAAGCTAGGTTTCCGGACCAGACGCTGGAACAAGGGCACTGCAACATATTGTTACCCGTCATCCTTAGGCAGGTCTTGCTTGAAATCATGTTTAGTAACATACTAGTAAGTCACTTCAAAGCTCTCCGTGACAGACATTTGTGTCACACTTGTGACACTACCTCAAGAACTTCTATTGTTACTTCAGTAACTAAGCAATTTTAAATGAAGTTCAAGATAATTATTTTTTACTAAATTTTATTCTATATTATTATGGCAAATTTCCAGTGAATGTCATGTAATGCTTACTTACAACACAGTTAAATGGTTTTAAATTACATTCTATAGATAGGAGGAACGCATTTCCTAAGAAATTTAAGAAACCCTGAACTGTAAAATTTCCAGTTGGAACAATTTGTATATTTTTCCAAATAATTACTCCCATTGTTTTATTAGTAATTATCTGTTGATAATATTTGCTCAATGATATTGAGACATTGTCCACTGTGCATGTTGTATGTATGACAGAGGGCAAGAAAAGTTCAGTCCCTTTTCCAAATATTATGGGGCTTGTAGTACTTCATTAATTATGGACGATTTTCTGCAACATTTATAAACTGGAAACTACCCTTGCTGAAATCCAGTCAGATGACTCTCAAAAAGTACTTCTGAAATGTCTTTTGAGAAGTGAGAGTGCCTTTTGAGCAGATCCAAGCCCCCCTAGGTAAACGATTTCTTTGTATCAGCATTTCCCAGTATAGGTTCAGGGGGAAAACCACTTGGAGATATATTAATAGGGTGTTACTCAAATTTTCACAGACAAAATACTTGAGAAAACGCCAGGCTAATCAAAGAAGAGTTTCGTTGCTGCAGGACTTTTCAGAACAAATCTATTTCTATTACTAATATTCTATTACTTAATATTAGTTAATATTCTATTACTAACTGTGCTCAGAGACCGTAGTTCAAATGCCGGACTAATTTGTCTTTTATTTTTTTCCCCCAGTAACACATTATGATAATAGCTTCCTTATATGAAATATTCCCCAACTCAATCTTTTTTTCTTTTCTTTTTTAAAGTTATTTTTAGAGAGGGGAAGGAAGGAGAAAGAGAGGGAGAGAAACATCCGTGGGTTGCACGCCCCCAACTGGGGACCTGGCCTGCAACCAACGCATGTGCCCGGACTGGGAACTGAACTGACAACCTTTCCGTTATCAAGTAAGCGTTCAATCCACTGAGCCACACCAATCAGGACCCCCATACTCTTTTAAAATAGTGTCAGAGTAAATCCGTTTCACAAAATAATATACACCACTGCACAACCATGTCAGATACCCTCATTTCATTACTGAGAAAACGGCAGTTCAAAAAACAGGTGGCTGGCACCTGTGGCAAGTGGCTGCTCTGGAAGAGAAATAACCCAGGGCGGTATTCTGGAAGCAATCTAAAATCGCTGGAGTCCCATTTCTCCTTGATTCTAAGCCTTAACCCTCCTTTCCCACAGGGAGGGCATTCCGACCCGCTGCACCGCGGTGCCTCCGGCCTCCTTCCACATGGCGTGTTCCCCACTCTGCGTGTTCCCTTGTACCCGCTTCTTCTTTCAGGGCCCCAGCTCCCCAACCTTTAACCTAACCCCTCTCTTCTATATCTGGCCACAATTCAATATTAAGGTACATTTTTTAGCTACCTGACTTTTAAAGAGGTAGGTGGGTCGTTCTCTCAGGCCCTAAAATCACCTATTTTTAAATTGGGGAATCACCATTATTTTCTACGAGCCAGTTGGTCTTCAGCAGTTATAAAAGCGAAACAAGTCCACGGCTCTGGATATTGGAGGGGCCAATTCCGAGGCATCACCTTGAGGGACAGGGGTCCCGGCCTCATGGTTTCCAGGAGGCTGGTCTATGAACCCGTCCTCCTCACCCTTCCAAATCCGCGGCACGTGGGTGCGCGGGGCAGGCACCGCCCAGGACTCCGGGCCCGACTTCTGCGGTCCACGCCCCCATCGCACGACCTCCACCGCACGACCCCCACGAGCCCACCGCGGGTGTGTAGAAAGAACCCAACAAGCCGTGGACAGTTACCTGTGAAATTAACGAACGGGGGCGGGTGGGGCGGAGCCGGAAGTGGGCCGCCGGCGGAAGTCGGCCCCCAGGGAGCCTGCACTTCCTCTCTAGGAGTTTGGAGGGATCCACACCTCTATGTTCTAGACCTAGCTTGACCCCACGGCAGGAGGAAAAAACGCTCTTGCGCCTGTATGGGAGGGTGCGGATAAATATCCTCGGGACACTTTCTTACCCTTTCATACCCATATGCACCTAGCAGCATCACTAACAGAGTCAGAAATTGACCTTATCAAGATTTTAAAAAATGAAGCCACAGGAACGTGATAAGGCACCCAAAAACTCCTCAACAATTTTCTAGCAGTTTTTTATTCATGATGTGCACGTGCATTTTTTTTTTTATTGACGTGAAGTCTGACTTGTATGCAACAACACTGCTAAAATGACCCTCAATTTAAAAACAAGTTTCACATTTGAAGTATCTTTTCAGCTTGAACCCCAGGCTGGGCTTGGCCCTGCCAGCTCTCGTCTCTCTTCACACCCAGTGCTGCAGTGATGAGTGGACACACCAGTCCTCCCACTCACCCCCAGGGCCCCAAGTGGCTCATCTGTTGATTCAGAGCTTCTGGTTAACCAACTTTTATATATCCTCTTATTTCATTATTTATATACTCTCTTAATATGATTTTCTGCTCTAAAAATAAAAGGAAAATTATGCAAATATAAATACAGAATCTAGTAAAATTAAAATTGTTTAGGTTTAAAAAATGTAACAGCATCCAACACGAATAAGGGTGTGGTGAAGTTAGTTCAGTCTGGGCAAATGAATGTAAATATGCAATCCTGTTGAAAAACTACTTGACATTCTATATCAGAAACCACTGCATTTGTTTAGGCTCTGACCCATGAGAGACTGTCCGTGGAAAATTTTTTCCAAGCAAACAATCCAAGAGAAAGGACAAGCTGCACTTCTGAAGCGATGGTACAATGGACACCTGTTGATTTTGCTTGTCCAACATCTAGGTTTCTTTTCTTTTCTTTTCTTTTCTTTTCTTTTCTTTTCTTTTCTTTTTCTTTTCTTTTCTTCTGATCTTGAACACTATGATTTTTCTGTAGGAAGCCAGCTAGCTCTCAGTTCATTTTGGGGGTGAGCACATGACTCAGGCCTGGCCCATCAGAATATCCCAGCACAGCCTGGAGGTAAGGTATGAAGTCAGAGGCAATGCTGCCTGGCCCCAAGCCTGGCTCTGCTGCTTAATAAATGCGTGAACTTCAGCTTGCTATGTATCCTCTGAGTCTCAATTTACTCAGTTGTTGAATGGGTATATTAATAATAGACATCTACCTCATAGGGTTGTAGTGAGTACTAAATGAATGGAGCAGGTATGCTAATGCCTGATACGTATGTATCACCATTATCATTTCCTACCCCCATGCCTTTGAGCAGGTTCTTAACACCTTTTCTTTCTTCATTTTCCTGTTTGCCTTCCACACACTCCAGTATCATCATCGCCTACATTAATTCCAGAATTATATTTTCATCTTTTTTCCCTCCTGAAAATGCCCTTATAGTTTAAGTCCAGACTCTTTTTCTTCCTTTTGTAATGCAACTGCCTGACTTACGCTTTGATTGCCAAGGTGTTCACTTCAAAGACAGTTATCCCAATAAACACTTTGTCAGCCACAGGACCAGATAAAGAGCCAGGCAGCCGGGGCACTGAGCTTCTTTGTTTGAGAGATCTCAGTTAATTTCAATAACTCACCAGTTGGGTTACTTGTTTGTTTTGTCTTCCTGCGCTTTAAATTCTGGCTCTTATGTTTTAAATTCACCAATAAAGAGTGATTCGTAGGAAACCCTAGACCCCCCATTCCTGGACAACAATGAAAACAGACCCCCAGACCTCTTTCTTCCTCCACCTTCTCGCCCCCTAAACCTTGCTGCGTAGCCCCAGGCATACTGTGTAGTTTCCAGGTCCTGTAAGTAACAAACCTGTACCTTTTCAGTTTCCTGATGGTTGCTGCTGAAGGATCTTGCAATCATAATAAGAACCACAAGGGCTGGTCCAGCCACAACATTGGCTCTTAATAGGCTGAGACCAGTTCGAAACAGGCCTATAGACACCTCTGCATCAGGGT